AAATTTGATTTTTGATAATAGTTCTGGACTATCCACATTGCCGTTAAGAACCTTAAACAAGAATAGACAATCTGCAATATTGCGTCTATCTACCAGTGGTAATAGATGGAATTTTCTACAGAGTTTAAGATAACGGGCAAATTGGTATGGTATATTTTGGTGGAAAGAGAGATATTTTATAAAACGTTTTTCAATGTTTTCCATGCGGTCAATATATTTTTGATATCTTGGATTCCATACCTGAGACGCATACTCCAGTTGGCTCCTGACATAAGTGCAATATAATATGTTAAGGGTCTTTGCATCGGTGAAATTTTTCGAAAGACGCATTATAAATCCAAGCAGTTCAGAGGCTTTTTTGACGATTGCATCAATATGTGTATCGAAAACCAATTTGCTGTCTTGATGAACGCCTAAGTCACAATTTTACAAATACTTTCTCAATAGTTCTGTTCATTTCCGACATTTTGAACCTTACGTAACGAGACAATTGATTTAAAAAACCCTTATCTATCTAAGTTTAAATTACATTTAACCAGCTCTGCCGTGACCCAGCAATTAACTTGTCATTTGAAGGATCATGAGCACTTTAGTACGAAAGTTGGACGTGCAACCAACAGAAATGTTTGAAATGAACAACAAAATTTTGTTGATATGTATTCGATGTCTAGATCACGTAAATCTAAATATTATTTTCGTAAAGTATGGGGTTTTTTTATATTTTCGACGTGTATTATTTATGCTTTACGAGTCTAAAACTGTGGTCTGGTTATGGTCATGGACTCATTCCTATAACACGGGTCCAGTAACTAATGAAACCAGTTTTTCAGGACTATCCATATAGTCATTCCTCAATGGATCTTTTTTGACAACAGTCATGGTCATGACCTCACCTCGAACAGTAGCGGCGCCCCGGAGCCGGGGCGGCGGCCCGCCAGCTCAAAGCGGGGGTACGCGCCGCGCCCCGTCAGCAGCACCGGCTCCAGCACCGTCAGGTTGTTGCGCAAGTACAGGTAGCTGGCCAGCGCCGCCGCCTGCGCCGGCACGAAGGTCAGCCGCAGCTCCAGCTCCGCGCCCGCCGCCAGCAGCAGCAGCGGCAGCGC